ATAAATAACATAAATCATGATGACAATCCCATAGAATGAATGGACAACCAATTTACCAACCGGTCCGGTTTTAATGTTGCTAGCGAAGCAGTCAACACCAGTCGGTCGAACTAGTAGGATCGGTACGATTTTTTAATACATTTAGTTACATTTAAAATCATTTTTAGTATAAATATAAAGACATATTTAAAAAAAAAAAAGGGGGATTTATAATTTATTTATCAACTAGTTTAAATTTTAAATTGTGCATATATTTAATTAATATATTTTATATAAGTTTATTACAAAAAGTACTATATATATAATATTAATAAATTAAAGTTTGGTCCAACCAAATAATTCATTGAATAAATAACTTGACAGGTTCAATGACGGTCTAGATTAAAGAATTTTGGATTGACCGTACATTAATAAAAGTTCTAATACAATATCATTTTGTTTACATAAATATTAATAAAATGATATATAAATATTCATAAATCATTGAATATGTCGTCATAAATAACATTCTTAATATGATTATTTGGGTTTGGACTACATTACATTTATCTTAATAAAGTATTTTTAACATTATAATTATATTTAATTTCAAAAATCGATTTGGTTTGGTCAAACTGACCGATAATATCAAACCCAATTGTATAATTTTCTTGCAATTTTAATTATCACCTAAAAGTAACTCAATCAACCTCATCAATAACCTAATTCAATCACTCGATCGATCTGAAAAACTTTTTAACGAATGTTCCTATAAATATAATTTAAATAAATCTTGAGACTTTCTCTTTTAAGTAAATTTTAATATTTTTATATATAGATTGTGTAAAGTCATGAAATTTGTTTACGTACTACTAAAATTTGTTTTCGTTCTACAATTTTAAAAGTTAAAGTGCAAAAAACAAAGAAAAATAGGACAATATTTAGCCACATAATTTTAAAAACTAAATTTCACGCAAAATGATAAAATCAGTTTTAAACTTACATAAAAAAACTTCCTTTATGAGAAGTCAAACTATTTAAATCAAAAGTCAACTTTTCACTTTTGAATTAAACATCATCTTTCAATATATTACATTATGATTATTATTATTATTATTATTATTATTATTATTATTATTATTATTATTATTATTATTATTATTATCATCATTATTATTATCATTATTATTATAACAACTAGTAATCAAGTATGCACATACACACATAAAATTTTAATAAGTTATTTGTGTGCATATAATATTTAAAATCATAAGTTATATAATGAGCATAACACATTTTATAAATTTTATTAGCAGTAAAAATGAATGGTACAAATATAAACTATTTATCTCACAATATAAGTCATGATATTTATTCCAAGAATATATTTTTTATAATTCTAAAAAATTATGACCAACTAATTAGATTAAAAAATATTACAATTATTATTACAGATATAATGACAGAAATTTTAAATGGTTTGGTTACAACATAAAAAATAATTAACTACTTTTAATAAAAATGTTTATTGAGCAAGAACAAAGATAATAATTATTATAAATAAATTGTTTGAAAAAAATTGTCATAGACTTTTTTATATGTTTATAATATAATTTCCATATAGTATTTATATGACTTTATGATTCCGTAGCAGTTACTATGTAATAAAATGAATAAAATTTAATTACTTGATTTTTCAAAATTAGCTTAACAAGAATGAAAACAAATTATTATTTCATTAAATTCCTTGCCCAGAGGGAGAGACATTTTATAGGCAACCTCAATTCAGGTAAGTGAATAAAATGATGTTTTTTTGTACTATTAGTTGGTAAAAAAAAAAATGTATATATATATATACAGCCTAAATAATGTGATTTTTTTTAGCTACGAGGTATGAATAAAATGTGAATCTTTGTTTGATTTTAAGTGATGTTCTATTTTTGGTTCTAATTCAATATTTTTTTATGATTTGTCGATTTTAATACAATTTAAAAAAAATAAATTTTTGAAAATCTTAATTGAATACCTCAAATACTTTAAAAAGTTTGAAAAAATTAAAAGTTAGATGCACCACAATTTCTGAAATCTTAAAAATAAAAAAAAAATAAAATAAAATAAAATCTAAATGAAATACAATCTAGCTATCCTAACGGGCCGACGGGGTGGGCTAGCCCGTAGCCCGCCAAAGCATGCCTATTTGCGGGGCGGGGCAGGTTGACCCACCATCCTGGCGGGCCTAAGAAATGCAGGCCCAACCCCCACCCTGGGCCGTGGGTTTGGCGGGCTAGACCTGCCATGAAAAAAAATTGTTTTAGTGATGATTTTATCTAAATTCAAGAAACAAATTTGATTCAAGAAACAAATTTAAATCTTAAGAATCTTTATAACATCTGATACAAATATAGAGAAAGGAAATAGAAAGTTCAAAGAAACAATTGAACTTATAATGCTTAAAGGGAACTACTTAAGTTAAACCACAGAGTTTAGAGCTGCTTGTGCTAAACTTATAATGCTTAAGAAGTTTTTTGCCGGGAAAATTATAAACATGCCTCCAAGAATCTTTGATTCATATTGTACTGTAATGGTCAACTAACATTTAATTTAGACCAACATCTTGGATAAAAAAAAAAAAAAAAACACAAATTTTTATTCCCACATCTGAACTTATTTAGGCTTATTATATGCTTTGTTTAACTCGATTTGCGAGTTCCCAATGAGTGTTTGAAGAAGAATAGAAAGGTCAGACCAAATTGTACCCTTTGCTCATTCAAGATAGCAAGTGAGGTTGAGGCAACTGAAATCAACCACCCAGTTTATTCAACTTTTTAGTCGAGCTCCGAATGGAAGCAAGGATAAGACCAAATGTGAAGAAGATATGTTAAGACGAGGCTTCAGATAGTAATGCAGAAGAATGTGAAAATAGCAAGGGAAGTAGTTGAACATATGGTGTTCGAGAAAAAAATACACTTTGAACTTAACATGACTAGCGAGGCGAAAAAGATTCACGACATCACTTGTAAAATCGATTTCTAGCCCTTAGTGAGTGATCCTTAGGGAGATTTTCCACCCAGTGAAGGGCTGTAAGTACGATGTGGATGGCCTGACTAATGTTCAAAACATTTTCATTACTGTGAAGTTTATTATTTTAGTTTTATGTACTAAAATACTGAAGTAGCACTTTTTCTCTTCGACGGTTTCTGTTGCTTTATAGGGAATGTTTGTTAAGCATACTTGGCCATGAATTAAAGATTGCAAAGTGCATGAAGGCTGGCTAGTGATACCTTAATTATTCCTGCATGCAGATTGTCCGCGTGACTAAAAAAGATCACTAATGAATGGCTATAAATTGCTTTTACGAGTGGATGTCATGGAACTTTCCTTTCTCATCACCCATGTAAAGTTTGATGTGCACGTCCTGAACGATATATGTTCGTTTTCCTTGTTATTTTAACTTTCATTGGGGATTAATGTCATTAGATATTGTCTTTCTATCTCTTAGAATTAAACGTAACAAAAATGATGTAAAAAAGAGCTCTGAAAGTTAATGGCGGCGACTTGATTCAAAATCCTTTCATCTTTTCGAGAATGATTTCTCAACATTTTCTTAATAGTCGGGGCTGAGCTAGGAGAGCGCGGTTAAAATCACAAGCAAATAACATCAGCCTGATATCCAATCATACATTGCGTCTACCTCTTTGCTTTCAAGCTTAAACCAGGTCTTGGAATCGGCATTACCACAACTAGGATAGATGCCTATATATTTGCAATCTGAAATTACTTTGATCCTAATGGTGCATTTTCTGGAGACTTCTCTTCAAGGAAGGGAGAATTTACATATACAAGAAGGAGAGAGTACGGGAGTAGTGGTGTTGATTTCTTTATCTACGATGATTTTTGACCCTTGGATGTATTTTTTATTATACGTAATCCAAGGGTCATAAAGTAACTGCTGGGGCTGGTGTAAGTGACTCACAGCAGCCCCCGGACCCGATTAATTCACAACTTTTAGAACCCACGGCCACGGGCCACACCAGATGAACATTTTGATTCATCAAATTCAATAGGTATTCATCACACACATAATTTTGGAATTTGACCGAGACTTCCAATTGATCAAGTATAAGGATTAAGGATCCATGGCAGAAGATATAAAGTAAACTACAGAATACCTTGCAAGCTGCCGCCGGCAAGCCGAGATACGAGAAGGATCAGGCCCGTCGTCGGGAAGGACAAAGGTTTGGACGAATGTATCGAAAAAATAGTAGGAGCACGAATGTATCGAAAAATTTCAATCCAAGTTATCATATAATCAAGATATTCGATATTCGATTGTGAGGTATTATTTGAAAGCTTTTCAATCCAAGTTATCTGATAATCAAATTATCCGACATTCGATTGTGAGGTATTATTTGAAAGCTTGTAAGACTAATTTTCCAACGCGTAAATCCTATGAAAATCCAGTCGGCATATTTTGATCAACATTTAAAAAACTACTGATCAATAGTTAGTTTTTTTTTTTAACTACTAACTTAAATCCAACCGTTGAACTTGTATATGATTACTTTGGTAGAAAACTCGTCCTCCAAAATTTGATGATTGCGACCATCAAATTTTCCATCAAAATTTCAACCGTTGAATTTTTTCCATCACTTGTTCCTATCAATTAACCGAAAATTTCAAGTCAACCACTAAACATTATTCTCAAGTCACCTCAGTTCAATCACCATACCAGTCCAACTCCATAGATATGAAAATGATATAAATATCATCATACATCATAACTTAGATTTAATTTCCCCAGGACAAATATCAAGATAATCACAATAAACCAACAAAAGAAAAAAAAAAATCCTAAAAGAAAAAAAATATCGAAGTTAAGACACAACAAGAACCATCAAAGATGCACGTAAAATTCGGGTTATCAGTTTTACATGTTCAGTGAAATTCTCATCCTTCATTCTTGGAGCAGAGGATAAAATAAAAAACACAGACAAGTCAAACAGCAAGCAGCAAACTGTCTCTCATTCCTCAGCAGCACTTGCAGCACTTAAATCCACATTCAGATCAAGAACCTGGAAAAAAAAAGGGTCAAAAAACGTGCAAAGGACATTAATCGAGAGGATGAAAGATAAAATTCTGAACATCACAATTTTTCCGAATATAAGATAGCGTCTTTCTTACCTTTCCAGTGATCAGAGTATACATATTCAGCACATCCACAACAGTCGACTCAAAGTGAGTGGTGGCGTCATAACTCTGTAAAATAAAGGGTTAGGAAGGTAAATATACTAATAATAGAGTGATGATTATCAACACAATTTATTCAGAATGCCATTTTGTATAAACTTACAGTCGATATAAAGCAATTGTCTAGAGAAGGCTCGTTAACCGGTTCATATCTGTCATAAGTCTCGAAGAAAATCTCGTCCACCTGTCCAAGAAGATCGATACCTGGCTTCAGTTCAGTCTCCGGGTGATCGGTCTCAGCTTCAGTCGAGACAAAGGCAATGAACTTTCCTTTGGGCGCAACATTGTGAGAATAGGAACAACAGAACAAATACCTACAGAACAAACCAATGAATCACGTCAAAAGTTGGGAAATTTACCATTGCGAATCTCAAAATTTATATTCGTGTAATTTGAAAACCCTACCTGCTATCAATAAATAAGAGAAAATAGTTATTTACACCATGTTCTGAAAAATAAATAAGTTTGTCACAACGCTGGATAAAAAGTTAACTTTTTCACCACAGAAAGTGCGAAAGCATTATGCGGTAATTATGCGACAATTGTGTGCTTGACATTGTGCGAAAGTTAAAAATGGAAAGGCATTCTCATAACCCTTCGCACTTTCCAATGTGAATATGTGAAGTTATGCGAACCATTCGAATAACCTTCGCATTTTCCGGGGTTAAATAGTTTAGCTAGCAGGGTGAAAAACTTAATGCAATCTTCATGTCGGGCTGTAAAAGAAATTTGCCCATAAAATAACATCAATCATAAAATAATCAGTTGACCATAATGTTGTTGCTTACAGAGCACGAAATAGAAGTTAAACTACTCTATAAAGGAAATACAGAGGAAGTCTTCTATTAAGCAAAACTCAAAATTCACTTCCACACAATAAATTGCTGATCCTACACTACAACATTGAAAGACTTACATTACAAATATTTTTATATCTTCTATAAATCATCAAGCAGTATAACAATGTCAGACAAGTTACTTACATGTCCGATTTGCGGCCCAACTGCTTCTGAGGTAGAATAACTTGAGCTGAATGAGAATCATTGGTATTTGGAATTGGGTGGCTCATGATAGCAATAGCTCGGGCAACTTTCCCAACCTTTCTCACCTGTAACAAATATCATGCTGTTGTTTATCTCATTTGTAGGCTAAAAGCCAAAAGAGTTACTTAGAACAGAGTTCCATTCATTTTATCAGATGGATAATGTGCCTGGTTTAAGTAACACCATCACTAACCTATACCATACATGTGTGTGCGTGTGGTTGTGAGCAAAAAATCCACAGCGACTTTACAGGTTAGACAAGGAAATATGATTCAAATATTACGTAGATTATAGAATAGAGTAACATTTCAAAATGAGAAAAGAAAAGATACCTTGTTCGGAAGGTATGAAGGATCACACACAACTTTCTTGCATTTTGCTGTTTCACCTTCCGATGTAACTCCACAGACCTTGCCTTCATCATCAAACTCTACCTGAAATTTGATAACTCCATGTCAGAGCTCAAACTAAACATTTACGGCAGAAGGGAACAAAACAATTACAAAGACAACTATCAAATGCTGAGGTGAAAGCTGTGTAACCGTGCTATTTAGGACCGGAGAAGATACCTATCTGAAAAGTGAAATTATAGTTGACTAACAAGGAAAAAATTAACTTAAACAGTTCTCTCTCTCATAATATGCCATTTTCCTCTATCAGTTTGACCATACAAGCTACATTTCCTCACTCAGTCAATCTTGAGCACAGTCCCTTACAAATCAGCACCATTACCATGTGCATTCTTAAGACAAAATTACTAATACATGAACACAATTATTGAATGATCTCAATACATTAAGAGGACTATTAAGATGATGAGAAATGTTTCTGCCCATACACAGACATAAAGAAAAATGACTATCAACGAACTTGCATTATATCATCATAGCTAAAACCCTTAGTCTTTCCTCTTTCATTTTATTGTCAAGCAGGGTGGAAAAGTATTATAAATGTGTAGGCACTAAGTGCGGGGAGTGGGTGATTGTTGTATCAGGTCAAAGGAAAAAAAGGCACCAACCTTGCAATCGGGTTTATTCAACATGTAGGTACCACCATACACAGCACTAAGGCGAGCAAATGCCTGTAGGAAACAGAGGTACAACGTTAATGAGAACCTTTCGCATCTATCTTTTTGGAGGGGTGTAGGCAAAGACTCAAGAAAGTGGCAAAATATAAGTAAAGCATTGAACAAACGGTTCAACCAAAAAAATAAATAAATAAATAAAAAAGTAATAATAATAATAATAATAATAATAATAATAATAATAATAATAATAATAATATTATTATTATTATTATTATTATTATTATTATTATTATTATTATTAATAATAATACGACAGCTGCACAAATAAGAAAGAGATGCAGACTTGAGGAAGCTCTCCAAGGCCGTACAAAGGGTAGATATACGGGGACCCTCCAGCAAAACGCGCTAAAGACTCTGCATAAAGCTATCATTCAAAAGAGCATATTAATGAACGAGATTCAAGTACAACATATTCTATTAAGAAACAAAAATAGACATCATGACATGAAACTTGTTTTCAGAGGGCAGATAATTACTTTCATCCTTTTCACAGTGTCCAGTGCAGGTTCATTTAAGTAACGGTCATCTCGGTGAAGAGCCAAAGCATGACCAATAAAATCCACAGTGTTGTCATCAAGACCATACTTCCTGTAGGGGTTTCAAAATGATTGAATTATTTATTAGGCTCGCAAGTAACAAACAGATCCACCTAATATAAAAATGCAAACAAAAGCTGAAGCAAAATATTGCTGCTTTGGGGGGTTAAAGATGGCTAAGCCCAACGGCAAGTTATGTTATCATTCTTTCTTATAGGATGGAAACACTCATTACAGAGGCCGTTCTGCACGTTCTAAATGAAACAAGCATGTTAATTTATACGAATATAACAAATTCAAGAGAACAGTACATCATGTACATAGCTGTACTTATGATTATCAACAAGGACACTTGACTTCAAGTTCAGAAAACACAAAGATTTGTTGGCTAGCAACACAGCATCAGATATTTCAAGTTAATAACAACTGTTCTTCTCCTAGTTAATTTTCCTGGACAAGAAAACATCGCCCTCAAGCAGGCATCAGCCTAAAAGCACCTATGTAAAACAGTCTACCTTTTATAAAACGCAAATTCTAAATAGAAACTGACAGCAATTATTCTTCCACAATTATGCTTAGAAGGGTGAGAACCACAAGCCCCCAACTCACAGACATGCCTATACTGATGAAATTGAACATATTCTAAGAAAACAAAGCAGATATAATGCATAAAAGACCAGTTGTTTTGAGTCATAGAAGAAGGAAAAACGTTCTAGAGGACATACGAAATGAGTTCTCTAGTTGTAATTCTTGTCAAATCCATTCCTTCGTGTGTTTTAGGATCACTTTCATTGTAATCTTGGACATAAATGAAAAACTTTCGGGCACGCCGCTTTTCAAAGATTCCCATTAGAGGAGATTTAAGAGCCTCCATGTCAGTCGCAGGCACCTTGTGAATCTGGTAAATGAACATTAACAAAATTCTGAATGTATCAATAAATTTTGTGGACACACCACTACGTACAATAAAGCTGAAAAGGCCGATATATCACCAAACAAAAGTAGATAGAAAACATGTGTAATACCTTCCCTTTGTTGTACACAAAGCTGCCATCAACAGCTTTGAAATACAGGTACTTTGTAACATCAGTATGAATGAGGACCCGCACAAGAGCACCATTTGCCATAATGTACTGTGATGAATTTTTAACAGCATCATTAATAAGCAACCAGCAGCAGAATTTTCTAAAGCATACACGCTAGCTTAAGAATAGTCAAAAACCTTAGGGACCATGTCGACATTATAATCTCTACTAGAACCCAAATGAGCTGGAGGTTGATCACTTCCTCTAAACCTCTTCCACATCTGAGTGATTTAAAAAAGATCTATATAAGATACGACATAAGAAAGAATGTGATCACTGGATATTTCTTTCAAGTTAAAAGGAAGGAATGCCTGAACAAGATTGAGTGAAGTCGATTCCCCACCATAATAGTCATTGCGATCCATATGCAGAACCTATTAAATCAATATAACACGATGAAAATAAGGACTGATACACAAGGATGTTTTTAAAGAGCCAAGAACAAACCAGAACGAGAAAACAGAAATGGGCAACAAATAAAAAATGGATAGGTAATCAAAATTGGTGAATTCACTGTACATAATCTATTACAAAAAAAATAAAAAATTGACTTCTGTTTTCATATGCAATTTGACTTTTACGATACCTCCTCAAACAAATGAGCCAGAAAAATCATCGAGCAAGATATATGTGGCCCAGCAACAAAATAGAAGGCTTAAAAAAACTTAGATTGATATACAGGACAAATTCGCCTATCAACATGAATATTCCAGTTAAAGGATACAAGATCCAAAGGGGGAACTATTACCAGCATGATTTACATTTCAACTGACCCCGCTCGGAAACCACAACTAATACTCAAATTAAATAATTGTTACGATGGGGCATGTCATTGGATAATATGTACTCTATTTTCTGTTTCTTCAAAGGTCTCCAATGGGATAAAGTCCCGATACATAACAGAATATGCATCCGTATCATTCTTTCCAAAAGAAATTCAGGCAATGGAATAAGCCACAGCTGGTAAGTAACGGAAAAATGGTGATAGCAGATGCTATTCCAAATCGGAAGCTCATAGTCCACCCAGAAACGTTCACACGGTATCAGTTAAAAACAATCATTTTTTAGCAACTCCACGCATTTCAAAGTGATTGAAATCTGAAACACTGTAACAGAACACCATTATCATCAGGCATAACGTAGCACGTCAAATAAAAATCAAGCTGACTTCAGCTATACTCAGCTGATTCATAACAATTAAAACGAACGCCAGATGATTGCCATATCGTAAATCCGTAAAAACATAGTTAATTTGGCATAAAACTGGAGAACATTCCTGACCGCCAAAGAACGACCAAATGATCCATTACATAATACCAAACACAAAACGAATCTAAGGTCAATCTACGTCATCAGCCGCAAGGCATAAACGAAGTATCCCAAATTACCATAATCAAATAATCATTTGGATTCGCAACAACATAACAGGAATACATCATAATCCAAAAAGCCATAAACAAAGCAGCCCAAATGATCCATAACCAAAGAAACATTTGGACTCGCAATAACACAACAGAAATCTGACAAAAAAAAAGGAAAAAAAAAAATGAGTTGGGACCTTAAGACCATCGACGGATAGCAGACCACTGAGGATGCATTCCTTGAGACCCGTCCCAAGAACAATCACATCGTATTCCTCATCCATCTTCGCCGAAATCAAAACAATCTAACCAAACCCAGAAAAAAAAATGAGAAATTTAATCCAGACAGATCAACCAGATCACTGGTAAGGGGGGAAGTGATTAGGGTTTTCTCGTAGGAGTCAAGAATTCAAGAGGTGAAAGATCTTCTGGCACATATGCGCGTGAATGTTGTGTGTTCTGAATTCTGATGGGGACGAAAGTTTCAATAGGATAAAAATAAAATAATTACAAACTAAATTCTTTCATTTGCTTTCGGATGATGTCATATTTTAAGTAATAATTATTCTTGAAACTATTTTATCATATAATACTCACTACTATTTTTAACTCAATTTTAACTCGTGCACTTACACGGAAAGTGAAATAATAGATGATGAAGTGATGAAAAATACAAAGAAAAATAAAAATCGTAACTTAATAAAAAATAATTTAAGAAAGTGAATATAAATATTATTAAAAACTTATTTATATACAACATGCGTGGTTTTTCTATTGTCAGAATTCTCAACGCCACAAATCATTATCTTCAAACTCTTCCGACTCATGACTCTGGGAAGAGCCACGTACAACTACTTATGACTGAATGACGTGTGATAAAGACTGGCCTTTTGTTTTATAGCATATGAAACCATGAGAGGAAAGCCTGCGCTGGAACTTGAACGGTGCCCTCAAATCATATGGTATGATTGTGAGCTTAAGAATAAGACCATTATAACTAGCTTTAGCATCGATTATAATTCTGCATTCGAGGACAATGGTTGTTGATCTTAGTAAAAACCAACGTGTACTGTTGCACAACCCTGTTGAGTGATCAATGTTTTTTAGCAGCATAATTGGAGTGTCGACCTTCAAGTGCAATTTATGATTCAAAAGTCCCGATCACTTGATCTCATTGAGAAATTGAAGATCTCGAAGAGTGTCATATCAACTTTGACTTGCAAGGTTGTCCAAACTCAAATAACTCATCCAACAGATGAGTTCAAATAGCTAATGTACTTGTTAACGGACTTAACAGCATCAACTGTGGGAGCGAGAAAGACTCTGATTTTGAGATAGCTAAGATCGTCGCTTGAACTCTTGAACAAAAGGTAGATACTCTCTATCAACTTCTACAACCCAACGTCTAGGTTCAGTTTTCGGTCCGGTGCGATTTTTCACCGAACCGCACAGTTGCTCACCTCTACTTATCACACCAAAATTGATTCGATAAAGTATAAGAGCACATTTGGTTTCCAAGATGGGATTTGACTATTTTATCACTTGTGGCCGTATTGCACTGTTAAGATAAAAGTGTTCTAATGTTTGTTTCCTACGATTTGTGCTTTGGTTAAGAATGGATAAAAGTATAACCTACATTTGTTTGGCATGATAATAAGTTAAATTAAGGTATAGATTAACTAAAGTGCCCCTTTAGTTCTTCAACCATCTCTGTCATCCGAAGGCATTTTTTTTCATCTTCTTTCTCTTACGTACCGTTTGCATCTCTGCGACCCTATATTGGTTCTTCCACCTCTAACAATCTTCCGATAATTCGATGGAAGTTCACGAGCCCCTCGATTGCAAGCATTTCGAATAAATCATCTCGTTCTGGGTGAGTCCGATTTACGGCAGTTGTAAAAATTATATTTCGCCCTACAAATTTCACATTGCTTAAAGATTTTTCCGCATGCCTCAGGCTAGTAATTTGTTTCTGTGGGATTTTTTGATGGCTTCTTTGTTCCAATTGAGAAGTATGATAATTCAGATTTTGAAAATATTAGGGGGATGTGATTTGCAACAGTGTTGATGGCCAACGGGTTATGCGAACCTAAGCAAGCTGCCATTAGTACGACCGCTGATTCTTTGCTTCAACGTTTCAAACCTAGTTCCATGTACAACATCCGCCAAAATTTAATTATCTAAAATACACTGTTCTGTGGGTTAAGGTAGAGAGAAAAAAAAAATTGAAAACACACAAATCTGCAAAAAACACACACAAAAAAGTTAAGATTTAGAAACAAATGAAAAAAAAAACATGCCATCAAACGGAGAAGTCGACCATTTCTACCTGCTTCGTGTGTCATTTGGAAAAAAAAAAAAAAAAAAATCTCAATCGAAGACAGAGATTGAGTGGCGTGGTTATAAGTGCCCTTATGACTTTTTTAGGGTTAAATTGTCATTTCATCTGTTTTGGGCTGTACAGATAAATTGAATCTTAGGGCATGCGGGGAGATTAATTTATCTCAGATACTCAAGATTAGCCCATTTTTGTCACGGGCCTTGGATTTTATTGCGGGCCAATATCATGCACAACAAACATGGGATAATGCAAGATAAATAAGGTTATCCTATCTAATCCTCCCAACCAAATGTGCTCTAACAATACAATTTGTCACACCCCCTATATATTAATTAAGAACGCGCTGAGCCTACGTGGCTGCTTCTGGTGCTTCGGAGTTCTATGTGGCAAAATTACATGCTTCGTTATTAGGCTTGAGTAAATTTTAATTTAATTCCAATCCAAAAATAATTAGGTTCGGATTACCATAAATATGTTGATTATTTATGGTCATGTTACATGTGTTAATTACATTTTAATATCATTCCTTATTATAACTATTGAATTGTATATATATTTTAAAAGTTAATAACTTTTATATTTTTTATCAGTTTTACATATGTAATATATCAAATTAATCTTCGTTTGATGAGCTTCGATTTAACATCCATATTGTATGTATAAAAATAATAATTTATATTTATCTTTATAACAATAATAAAATTATTTTTTATATTAATTAGTAAATAAAATTATTTATCAACTAATATATTTATATTTCAAGTAGTTATATGATATAAGTTATAAAAACTAATATAATATAACACATGTAAGTCATAAGTAACACATATCATTCTAAAATATATAGTAATATATTTTTTTTTGTAAAAAATTAAACTAAATTTAATATAGTTTTCTCATTAATTCTAAAATTTAATAATATTTTTTTTAACAACCACCTACGTAATACACAGGTGTTGTACTAGTGAGATGGTATTAGTAAAATAGTTGTATTGATTTTTTTAATAATTTCCGCCAGAAAATGATTTTGGGCCTTACATATGACGTACGAAGAGAGCTACACAGGCCCAATGGTCATGAAAGCCCAAATCTTCTACAAAACCCTAATCACAAAACCCAAGGTTTTCACCATTTCAACGCACCCCCCCATTACAGTCTTACAGACACTGCGAATCGTAATCCAGGGGAAAAATGGTGACTTACAAGGTACGCTTGATCGCGATATAGCTTATGTGTTTATTATGAATGCTCTTTCATCTATTGCTCCAATGTGTTTGTCTGGTTCGTTTGTTATGCGTGTTGTACCATGTGCAGTTCCATCGGTACCAGGTGGTCGGAAGAGCTCTGCCGACGGAGGCGGAGGAGCACCCATAGTTCTACCGCATGAAGCTTTGGGCCACCAATGAGGTTCGCGCCAAGTCCAAATTCTGGTACTGTTTTCCATCTTCAATCCTCGTTTTTGTTTTCTGTGGATTTGGTGATGTGTTCTTCAGGAGTTTCTCTTGTAATATATATATATATGCGGATTTGGTGATGTGTTCTTCAAGAGTTTCTCTTGTAATAAATATATACGAGTATTAATACCCATGTACAACATGAGTGTTAGAGTTAATGAATATATGTGTAAAGTTATTTATTTATGTTTAATACCAAACCTAACTCCAGAACAAAAATAATATAAAAACAATATCACGAAGCATAGATTTCGCCATGTCAACATCCGAAGCGTGAGAATCTACCACCTAGGCTGAACACGTTTTGAAATAATATATAGGGAGGGATATATATATATTTATAATATATATATATATATTGTGGCATTTGAATCAATTTCAGCTTTATGCAGTCTGGAGATATATCAGATTATTTTTTTTTTCTTCCTTTTTTGTTAAATTGAACTCAGCATTAGTATCCGCTAATAGGGGTCTCGTGCTTTTCATGTCATGTTGTGCCCATTGTGTCATTTGTGTACTTGTGTTGTGTTTTTGTTTCGTGTCTTGCCCACGTTTGCCATCTCTATCTGCTAATAGCTTGTTTATATATTAGGATTAATTTATCTTCGCTTGAAAAGCAGCCGTGTTGCCATATTATATAAGCTAAAAGCATTCTGGCTTCTTAGATAATTCATTCCTAGGTGTAGTCTTTCTTCCCTTATGCTGCCCCTGGGTCCTAGTGGAGTAGGATTGCCCCCTAGAACCCCTAGGTGTAACCTTTAGCTCAATACTAGAATCGAAAATTGAAACATAGCATCTGAGGTTGCATTAAAAAGTGGCTCTATTTTATACTATTCCATCGATATCCCACTTCCATTCTCCTCTCCCTACTACATCTCTTTTTTCCTTCGTTTCGCTTCGTTTGTTTGGTCTTCAAAAGTGGTTTGCTTATTTTCCGGTAGCGGAGGACGAGCGGACAATTACCCGTCCTTTCAAGTAGTGGTAGTAGAGATCTCAGGTTTATTACCAGATCCGATAACAGCAATTCTCCGTCTCTGACCAGGAGGTCTCACATCTACAGATACCCAAATGCTAGCTCGCAAACTTCATAGTAAGTCGCTACATCATGCTTTTGAGGAAGCTCTTCGGCCTGCCTCTTCTTTCTAAATTCTTTCAGTTTGATGGGCCTGCTCTCGTTTCTAGGTTTGGATGTTCTTTTAGGGTCTACTATATTACGTCAATACATGAATCTCATCTTTCCAATCTCTTTATTCCCGCCCGAAACAATTCGTTGGACGTGGTTTGAACTTGATTGCTTTTCGACCATGGCAGACTGGTATAACATAATTAGTGTTGAATTAATCCTGAAATATTCCTATATATTTTGAAGGAACAAACAGCGGTTCTAAAAAGGTTAGATTTCTTAAATACACAAGTTAAAATTTACGTACTTCAGAACTCTTTATCTTGAAAATCTCAAGATCCCTTCACTTGCTACATTTAGCAATGG